TTAGTAATTCTCTTTAGCAAAAACTGGTTCTGACATGTAAATCAAGAATAAAAGGCCTTCTTTCTTGTCTTGCTCAGGTCTCCCTCTTAGAGTACAGGAAGAGGCAGCGGGAAGCGCGGAAGAGCGGCTCCAAGAGCGACAGCTTCCCGCTGCTCAGTGCGCTGCCCGGCGCGGCCGGGAGCCTGGGCGGCGAGGGCTGTGCGCAGGGCGGTGGAGGCGGGGAGCAGGCGGAACCCGGCGCCGGCCCCCCGCCGCCCGCGCCCGCCCCAGCGTCTGGCACTGCTGAAGAGGCTGGCAGCGACTGTCCAGCTAAAGACGGTGCTGCAGGCGACAAGAACGAACCGGAAGTGCAGTGGTGAGCTGCGGGGAAGTGCGCTTGTTAGTAAACTGTGCTTCCTGTTTGTGTGCTGCTCCAAGGTTAGGCAGATACTTGTCACTGCTTAGAAAGATCTTAGCTGAAGCTGCCTGTGTTGTTAAAAGGCCACTGCGTTCACCTAGTAACTTATTCACGTTGCTCACGGAAGCTCTCCTCTCGGTGAACATCCTACAGATTTTTCTGTTCCTCCCAGTTACCTTGACAGAACCACCAACTAGGGTTTCTTCAGCAGGCAAGGAAGCCGCTGCCTGTGAGACAGTGTCCGCAGGTGCCAGGCGGCTGCACTCACTCTGGCAGTTGGGGGCAAACAGTATTTTGGTCCCCTTGGTAACCGGAAGTGACTTTGTGAATGTTACTACAGTGTCTTCAGCTTTGCCCTCCTTTTCACCCCAGAATTTGACAGACATAAACTTAGTCTAAGTCCTTCAGGTATGTGGTGATTAAAATGTCAGTTTGGGCGCAGTTAGCAAAGTAAAACAAGATCAGCTATTTTCAAAGCTTAACACCAAAGTATTTTCCCAGTCGACAGAACCCTCTCAGAGGAAGAGTTGCCCGTCATGGGACAGAGACCAGTCTAAGTGGTAGTAGCTTCTTTGAAATGAGGATGCTGTGCTTTTATTTTAAAGGACGGCCTCCACCTCGGTGGAACAAGTGAGAGAGAGGAGCTACCAGAGAGCTTTGCTGCTCAGCGATCACAGGAAGGACAAAGACAGTGGTAAGGAAGCCGTCCCCTCGCCAGCAAGGGGCCGCGCCGGCTTCGCGGGGCCTAACCTTCTCTTGGGCCTGCTCTGCTTCACCTCCAGGGGGAGCGTCCCCGTGTGTGTCATGCTCACCGAGCCATGTTCAGTGCCCGCCTTCATCTCATCCGAACCCCATTTCCCAGCCGCAAGCGAAGGGCCTAGGCCCTCGCAGTGAGCTCGCGGAAGGTCAGTACGCGGGCGACCTGTCATGGCTGTTGGCTGTCTGAAACTTTTTCAACGAGAGAATGCACATTGCTTTGTCATGTCCATAAAAGGCGGGATTCACCGTGACCCTTTACGTTTACTGTCGATTTCTTCTGCTTGTTACAGACCCCGATCCTGAAAATCCAGAACCCACGACTGCAAATGAATGTCCATCCCCAGATACTTCTCAAAACGCGTGTAAAAGCCCTTCAAAAGTGAGCAAGGTAATAATGTGCACTGACTGGACACGCGCAGACCGCGTCCTGCCCAGGCCGGGGGCGCTCTGTGATTTCCGGACACTCGTGCCCAATGTGCTCACCTGTGTTTCGTATTTTGTGGGTTTTCACACTGGACCATGAGGCAGGTCACCCGGCAGTCACGTTTTCTCCCACATTTGGGTACCTCATGCCTTACCTAACATGCCCACTCTACTCTAACGCGCCTCGGGAACGCTGCCTGGATTGTGTAACCAGCCCATGCTTCAAAAACGAAAGGTGAAGTGACACTCGTTTAGAAAGGGACACAGGTCCTCCCGGCTCTGATCTGACACCGAGGGGGTGCAGTCTAACAACGTCATACGCGTTTTCGTCTTGCAGACGTGAGCGGTTTGTAAGAACACAGGCATCGTCCATCGGGATCGCTGGGGGGGCAGGTTTATTCACTCGCACCAACTTTTGCTTAAGCTGGGCACAGAAACTGCACTCGCGGAACTGCCCCTGGCGGGTGCTTTCGAGCTGCCACACCGCCTGCAGAGGAAGGCTCCCCGCTGTGGGCCGCGCGCCGCGGGGGCCCGAGGCCGCGAGTCACGCCCGCTTTCTCTTGCAGCCTGGCTCCCCGGGACCCGGGACCCCCGCGCAGCAGCAGCAGCAGCAGCAGCAGCAGCAGCAGCAGCAGCAGCAGCAGCA